GGTTACAGGTTCCAAGGTAACTTTCAAAAAACCTTCTAAGACAGCGTTGCCGAATGATATGAGATTTGATAATATGGAGAATTAGGTATAATAACATTTTACGATGTGTATCTCACTATTTTAGTTCACAGATTTCTGTAAATGTTCAATTATGTGCTGCTATTTCAAACTTTTGGTATCCTTTGATAAAATAAGTTAAATATTATTGTTGACCGTTTAAATTGGTTATTTTACCTTATATATTTTTTTTGTACTCTTCATACAGTATTCTGTGAAGAGTATTATAGGTTTACTTCGTCTGTTCGGTGTCACGTTTTTTGTCTGCACAATAATTCAAAAACGAGAAATAATATCAACTTGAAAATTTTAAGCTAAACTCAAGCTCTATAAGGGGCCAAAGCCTATTGATATTTAACAAATCTGATGAAAAATAGGAGGTTAAGATGGGTTGAAATTAAAAAAAAATCTAAATTAAACACGAAAAGCGATATCAACATAAAATTTTAAGTAAAAATGAAGCTTTATAAGAAGATAAAGCCCATTGATACTAAAAAAAAAATATGAATATATTGGGGAGTTAAGAGGGGTTAAAATATTAAAAAAAATCCTAACTGAAAAAAGAAAACTGATATCAACTTTAAATTTTTAGCAAACATCAAGCTCTAAAAGAAGAAAAAGCCCTTTAATTATAAAAAAAAACTGAATAAATATGGAGGATTTAAGGGGGTTGAAACTAAAAAAAAAAAATCAAAAACGAAAAGCGATATCAACATGAAATTTTTAGTAAAATCAAGCCCTATAAGGAGATGAGGCCTATTGATTGTGAAAACAATCTGGTAGAAAATGGGTAGTTAAGGGGGTCTGTTAAACTGCGAAGATTATTATTTAGAATGCCAGGCAATATATATCTTTATTCTAGCTTGTATCTACGTAATAGTATGTATTGTGATGGGACTGATGTTATAAAATAAACATTTAAAATATTTTAGTTCTTATTTTATTTGCCAATAAAAGGTATTTAAAAAATATATTTTTTATTTGACATATGTGACAAATTGTGAAAATGATTTAACTTAACAATAAAAACTTAAAAATAGTAGGTAAAGTTTCACATATTTTTTATACAAAAATCAATGTCAATCTTTTTACATAACCTGATAAATATTTAAAAATAATCTCAAATTATGAATAAAAGTCAGTTTACTAACTAATAATGTTTATAGATGGTTTTCAATGTGTTTAAAACAAAACAAATATTACACTAACTAAAATATTCATTTATTAATAGTTATAAGTAGTACTTGAAAACAGTAGCTGTTGGTAATAATAACGACACACACAGCGATATTAGCTCTTGTACAAAGTTTTGAACTAAACTTACAAATGATAAAATTATTGGAAAAAGTGAACATCCATTTTAAATTACCACGAGCCGCCACTGGTTGACAGGGCAAGGAAAAGAGTCAATTGCAGAAAAGTAACAGAATGATATAAGATTTAATAATATTGGCCACTTATAAGAAAGGGTGTTCACAGTGCAAGGAAAAGTGTCGACTGCGCAAAAGTAACAGTTTTTATTTAAGTGGAAAGTTCATCTCCATCCAGATTGTTTTGAAAACTTCCATAAAAAATATTAGTTTTGTAATTATTTTTTACATAATATTAATGCAACTTCAAAGGCCAAAGGTGCATGTTCTATTGTTTTTTTCTGTTTAATTTTAAACTTGTTCTAAATTAAAATTGTTTCTTTAAAACGCATTGATAATATTTGCTAAATTGTTAGACTATTAAAATTCTTTTAATTTTTAAACCATAAGTAAATTCACCGAAATCCTAAGTTAAATAAAGCAGTTAAAGCAAATACGATATTTAAGACAAATAGTAGTATGTGCAACAAGAGTGGATATGATGGCCATATCGCACGAAGACGAAATTTGAAAACGACGCCGGAGGTGGAGTGCTTAATCGTCTAAATTCGATGTGTACAGTATATTTTTTCTACGATCCACTAAGGAAAATGTACAAATTAAAAAAATATTTTAGGTTAATAAGACAAAATAACTAATTTTAAAATAATTTATGATTTTTACTCATTTTTAAAATAAAAAAAAAACAAAAAAGAAAAAATTTTCCCCATCCGAGAATCGTACTCGAGTCCAATGTGTGGAAGGCAGGAACCCTGACCACAGGACCACTTGCTCTTTTATTTTGTTGCTTTAATACTCGTAATTAAATTAACTTTATTTAGTTTTATTTAAACAAACAAATTATTTATAATTATAGACAAAATAAAAACAGAAATGCTATTATTTATCGATTCTACACAAGAATAACCCATTTTATTGTATGTTTAATCTCAATAACTAAAAAATATATTATAATATACAGAATTGTCACTTATTTAAAATTTTAAAATTAATAGCAGTCGGTTGATCAAAATATAAACGGTGATTGGCGGATTTCATTTTTTTTGCAGTGTTCTCACTACCTAGAATGGATATGAAATATATTCGTTCAGTTGAAGGCAATAGCATGGCTTTTTCGTTTTGTAATTTGTGCGTAGATAAGGTAATATGTGACTGTAGAAAAAATATTTGCTTACTTGTTTTTTGTAAACTTCCTGTTTTCCTTAGTTTAATTAATAAAGTATAATTAAAAAAAAGTAAGTAGAATGCAGAAAATACCATAAAGAAAAATCTAAATAATTAAATTTACTATTGTTAATAAGTATAATTTATATTGTTTCGTTTAAGCAGCCTTAGCTAAATATTATAGAAGGTGATTCATTAAGGGTTGCGACCAGCCGTATCTCAGAATATCTTGAAGTAGATTTTTTTTAAAGAAAGCAGAACTGTTCAAGGGGGGGCACCTTTCTATAATATCCTTAAGGTGATTACAGCACCCCTCATAATTCTCGGACAAGCATATCTTAAAAAGTTTTTTTTTTTTTTTTTAATTTTAAGTTTAGCAAAATAAATAAGGCAATAATATCTGGAATATGCATATATTTTAAAGTTTTAAATCTTTCGAGTTTCCAAGAAAAAAATCAAAGGACTTTAAATTTTAAAATATCATAATAAAAATAAATGCATTCCTTAACAGCACTATTCTTAATATAATCCCCAAATTTAGGCTCTTAATCTCTTGTTAATTATTTTTTAAAATTCGTTAAAATTAGTGGCTAAAACGCCTCGTTAAGTGCTATCTTCTGGTGTAACTATCGTATCGTACACTCTCAGTCATCATTCGTTCCTCGTAACGATTTACACCAGTTTACACCAGAAGATAGCCCTTAACGAGGCGTTTTAGCCATCAATTTTGACGAATTTTAAAAAATCGTCAACAAGATATAAAGAGCTTTAATTTGGGATTATATTAAGAATAGTGCTGTTGAGGAATGCATTAGTTATTTTCATTATAACATTTCAAAATTTAACGGCCTTTCATTTTTTTTCTTGGAAACTGAAAGGAATTAAAACTATAAAATATATGAATATTCTAGATATTATTGCCCAATTTATTTTCCCAAAATTTTAATTTTTTAAAAAATTAAGATATGCTTGTCCGAAAATTATAAGGGGTGCTGAAATCACCTTTAGTATGACACATCGTTGGAAAGGTAATATTATTGCATATTCAGAAATATAAGTGTTCATTGCGTTTCTTCTAATTTTAATTTTAGTAGTAATCAAATGAACTACATAACATTAACCTTTATATCTTCATATTGCACATTCAATAAAATAAATTTAGTAATAATGCATTCTTTTTCCTTTTAAGTTTATTTTTAATTTAGTTAACATAACAGTATGTAGTGTAATTAATTACTAACAAAATTAGCTTTCAAATAAAGTGTCACACTTTATCATAGGTTATTATTTTTTATCCCGCTAGAAGGCGCTAAAATTAAAAGGAATGCAATAAACAGTCATATTGCTGAATTTCCCATAACATTACCTTTTCCGACGATGTGTCATACTTGATACTGTTCCTATTTGAATTGTATTGGTTAGATTGACGTAGGGGAAAAAGAAATGACATCTGACAGTTAAGGATATTATAGAAAGGTGTCTCCTGGAAGCAAAAATCGACCTGTTTCAGCGTTAACAATTTCACTTCAAGATATTCTGAGAAACGGCTAGTCGCCATCCTTAATGAATCACCCTGTATATAAATCATAATTATCACATTATTGTCAAATTTTCAAAGTCGCATTTAGAAAAAAGATAAAATTTATTTTTCAAGAGTGTAATTGATTGAATAATTGAGTAATTATTATAATAAACCAACAGCTATTAACAAAAAATTAGATTTTATTAATTATTAAAGAGTCTGACGACTGCCCTTTTATTTGAAAATTGTTTATATTTCATTTTAATATGTCGTCATAAGAAAGGATAAATATCTGTTATTATTTGAGCGGATTTTTTTATATGAAAAAAATTAAGAGCGAAATGTGTCTTAAATTTATTTGGAACAATAATATTGACATAACTAAAAAGACTAAACTTCAGTTATTCTACAAGTTTATACTATGTTAAAATGTCCATTCACTATTTAATCTTTAATAATAAAATATGTATGTTTTGTCTATCTCCGACGAGGGGACAACGAAAAAGAGCAGGGAAATAGAAAAGAAAAAGAAAGAGAAAACGAAAAAGAAGAAGATTTTTTTAGTATATTTCAATATTTTTTTCGTACACTAATTAATATTTTTCACGTTCATCAATTCTTTTAATAAATAAATTCATGTACATGTGAATATATTCATGCAAACACAGTTTTAGAGTAATTATTTCTTAGATACTCACATGATTTTAGTAAATAAATTTGTTTCTAAATATTTTTTTCAAATTGTAATTTTTAATTAGTATTCATAATTACTGCATTCGCGAAACTGACAACACAAATGCCCAAAAAGTCAACGATTTGTTGTATATATACGAAATTAAAAAGAAAAATCTCGAAAATGACCTATTAATTTCTAAAAATATTCTTACCAATTTGTTGGAAACATACTGCCGATCTAAATAAAAATTCCATAACGGTTGTTTGAAGAGATTCTACACCCGACTGACGAATTTTAAATTATTAATGTTACTAAAACGCTCTGGGAGGTTTTTAAATTGCCAAAATGTTGACGAAAAACTACTAATCGTTATTTATTTCTAAGTGTAGAATTAATTATATTAATGGAAAGATATTAGTTTGTAATTTAATATGGTTACTTTCCATATTTGAAAATAATTATACCAAATCGCTTCTATTAAATAAATAACACTATTTTATGCAAGTGTTAAACAATATGTATTTAGTCAGGAGCGTACTAAATTATAAGTATTAATTTACAATTTTTTTCTATGGAATTACACCCTACTAAGATAAAAGTATTTATAATATTTATAATTTCCCCAAAGGGATGAAAATACAGCCAAAACGAAGACTTTGGTTTGCGTAAGCTTTGCCCACTGTGGACCTTTAATAAATAAATATTATTTAAACTTATTAAATATAAAAATTACGAATTGAAAAAATTCAAGCATTTACTGGATGGATGAATGAACGCGGTCAAAAAAAAAATTTATCGTGATTTTTCTATTAATTAACAATTTTTTCTCACTTGAACATTAACATTGCAAGTGCAATAATTGTTAAATAACAAATATGAGTTTTTTTCTTTTTTGGATTAATTTTTGAACGGTCCCAGAAGAGATTCTTCTTGGAAAAATGAAAAAAAAAAATTATTTTTTACTGTGTTATTATATATCTAACTGAATTAGAGCGTGGTTCAAAGCCCACTTGTACTGAAGCTCTAGGCTTATTGTACCCCTCACAGTTTCTATCCCATCAGATTGATTTTCTTGACGAATTCAAGAATATGTCTAATGGGCGCTTTCGCGATTTCTTCAGGTTCCGGATATTGTACCCCGGAGTACCATTTCCGTTTCCTTTTAAGGTTCGGACAGTGGCATAGTATGTGAATAGGATTTTCGTCCTCTTCTTCACATATTCTACATAGAGGGTCATCAGATATCCCTAAGAGATTTAGGTGTGTTCTAAGGCCGCAGTGTCCCGTAAGGAGTCCTATTACGGCCTTGAGTTCGCTTCTGCTAAGGTTTATCAGTTGGTTGTCTGCTCGTGGATGGCCCCTCTATGAATCTTTTGGACTGTATAAGTCCAGGAAGTTCCATCTAGAGCCTATGGTGTTCTCTTTTTATTTCTTCCTTTAACACCCATTTAACATGTTTGTATGAGATACCACACGTGGGTTCTGGTCCAATAAGAGTTTTTTCCGCTCCCTTCCTTGCTAGGAGGTTTGCTTTCTCGTTTCCAAATACCTGGCATCCATTCAAGGGTGACCTTGTTATGTTTTGCCAGGGACTGGAGGGATTGTTGGCAATCAAATATTGATTTAGATTGTACTTCTACCCTTTTCAGTGCTTTAAAGGCTGCCTGACTGTTTGTCATGATAACGATCCTCTTATCTCTAAGAGAGTCATTTAGCATGACTTTTCCGCAGGCATTTATTGCTGTTACTTTAGCCTGAAAGACTGTTGTCAGTGACCCCAGGTTCAAACTAATTGTCCTCCCTAAGTTCACATGGTAGATCCCAGCTCCTGTGCTGTTTTTCATTTTCGAACCGTCTGTATACCAGATTTAATCGTTTTGTTTTCCCTATTTTCCCGGCTTTTGGCCCTTTCTGGTATTTAAATATCAAAAGGTTTCCTGAAGTCGTGAATAATGGGCGTTCTATCCGATGACATTCTTAGTACCGGAATTTGTTTTAATTTCTCTAATATCATTGTGTGGTGTCCTTTTCTCAAAAGTTCCCATCCAAATCCATTAGTAAACAGCCTGTATGTCGCAGCTATAGCCTCCGTCTCCACCACAAGGTGTAGTGGAGGAATACCTAGCAGTAGCTCCATTGCTGCTATGGGCTTAGTTCTAAATGCCCCTGTTATTATTAGACAGGCTAGTCTTTGTACCTTGTCTAATTTTCTTTTAGCTGTTATGCTTTTAGTCTTGTGCCACCATATGACTGATGAGTAAGTTATAACAGGTACTACAACCATAGTGTAAATCCAGTGCATCATACTTTCCCCCATACGTTCCCTACCATCCGCCTACAGGCCCATAGTATTCTTACAGCTTTTTCTGTTGTTTTTTCTATATATATATGCAGAAGCTAAGCTTATCATCAAGAGTAATTCCAAGGTATTTAACCTCTTCTGCCATTTTTAAAAGTTGTCCCCACGTATAAAGCTCCTTCATTCCTTGAAGGTTCCTTTTTCTTGTGAATGCAACAACAGAGGTTTTTGTCGGGTTTGTGGACAATCCCCCTTTTAGGCACCATCTTTTGACGATATTTAGTGCCCGCTGCATCCTTTTAGATACAACAGTCCCTTTACCGTTTACTACGATGCTTATGTCGTCTGCAAATGCTTCCGTGTATAAATTTTCTCTCTCTAACTCCCATAAGAGGTCATCAACCACCAAGTTCCATATACGAAGAGATAACACTCCTCCCTGCGGGCATCCCTTGTTAACGGAGACCTCTCTTGTTGTGTTAAGGAGATTACTGGTAATGGTTCTATAATTAAGCACAAACTCTACCCACTTCGTAATGCAGTGGGCTACTCCACGCCTTTGCATAGATCTTAGTCTTGGATTGTATTAAGCCGAGTCAAGGCTCCTTCTATATCTAGGAAGATTCCTAGTGCTATTTCTTTGCTTTCCAATGCTTGTTTAGCCTGTTGAGCCTATGTATGGCTGTATCGCAAGACTTTCCAGATTGGTAGGCAAACTGGTATCGATTTGTCCCATAAAACATCGTCCCATATATATCTATCCATCAATTTCTCCAATGTTTTTAGGAGAAATGATGTTAGGCTGATTGGTCTGAAAGATTTGGTCTCCTCGTACGACGCTTTCCCGGGTTTGGGAATGAAGACCACTCTTGCACACCTCCAGTAATAGTTTACACAGTGGTCCCTCCAGTACTTCCTGGCCCTGTTGTAGAAGTGCCGGGATTATACCATCAGGTCCAGCTGTTTTGCATGGTTGAAAGGAATTTATCGCCCATACAAGTTTTGTTCTGTTTACTATTGAGTTTTCAAGAGACCAGTTTGTTTTTGAGGCCCTAGAAATTAGTGCCATAGTTCTCCTGTTCTCCTGGTCAAGAATAATCTCACATCCAGGAAAATGTGACTTTAGAAGTAAATCTAAGGTCTCCTCCTCTGTTTTTGTGAGTTCTCGTTGATTTTTTAGAGATCCCATGCATCCTTGCTTATCTCTCTGTAGAGTTTTTCTGAGTCTGGCACATTCTGGAAGGCTTACAATGCCGTCACAGAGTTTCTTCCAGGAATTTTCTTTGGCTTTCCTAATGGCATAGCCATATTCTCTCCGGTACGCCTAATAGGCTTCCCAGTTTCCCGACCTTTTCGAAAGGTTAAAGAGTTTACGAACTTCTGCTCTTTTTTTGGAAAGATCTCGATTCCACCATACAGCGTCTCGATCCTCTTTCCTAATTTTTAAAGGACAGTTTTTTTCAAATGTGTTGGTTAGGGTTCGTGTCAGAAACTCTGACATAAACTCAACTTCCACTAAATTTTTCGGTATCGAAGGACAGTTGTCCAGTCCCTGTTTAAGTTATTCCTTGAAAGCTCCCCAGTTACAGGTCCTAGGATTACGATATGTCTTCTCACCCGAGGTTTTAGTACCCAGCTCATACAGGATATGTCTATGGTCGGAAAGTGACGCTTCTTGTGAGACGTGTCACTTCCCCACCAATGAACATGTCCGTTGTGTACCTCCCTTCGCACAGATGTTACGAAGGTTGGTTCATTTCCAATGTTTGCAACTTCTAGTTTATTGGAAGCAATAAATACCAGAAGAGCTCCTCCTTGGTTATTAATGTCAGTGCTCCCCCATACTATATGGTGAGCATTGGCATCACACCCTAGAAGAAGTTCGATTTTTTTTTTTTTTTTTTTTTACAGTGACTAGCCAGTTCTCTCACCTTCTTGGTGGGTTGGAGCCCAGGTTGGTCATATGGTAGATATACGGATCCAACAATCAGATAACTTCCTTCGTCTAGCTTTAGGGATATTGTCACTAGGTCATTTGTACAAAATTCCCATAGTGGAAACACCTTCAAGCTTTTATTTGCAATAATGCAGGTTCTTGGGTGTCCAGACGCTGAATAAATCATGTCATAGTCCCCTGATATATGCAACCCTCTAATTCGCCCCTTGTATACAAGAGGTTCTTGGATTAGAGTAAGATTATTAACAATTTACTTAGGTTTAAAATTAAAAAGCTTGATTAATCATTGAAAAAAAATTTTATAGACTATTTTTTATCATCAGAAGCCACATGAAAATGATCTTAAAAAATTTTTATTTCGTATTGTTTAAAGAATTATTTTAAACAAATGTGTTGTTTATAAGATAATTTATTTTTTTAAACGTAATCTTTGATGCATATTATGATTTAAAAAAAATCGTTAGCTAAAAAAAATTTTAATTAAACGGATTTGTTAACATTTTTTTTACCACTTGTAATTATTATTACGGAATCATTTTTTAAATAATAATTTATCTTGCTCTTTGATGACTAAAAAAAAGGAATGTTTTTATTTAAATTTTCATTATTTATTTAATAAACACTTTGTTATAAATAATTGAATTTTCTTTTTGATTTTTTTACATGATGAAACTAAAATAACAGTAATAACAGTAATATAAATAAAAAAAAATTTTCAATGATTAATTAAGTTTTTTAATTTTTAACCTAAGTAAATTGTTAAAAACAAAGAGGAAAATAACATTTTTTTATCAGACCGTTTAAAAATTGCTCCAGAGTTTCGGGTGACAGAACTTTTTTTTTAAATTTCCTCCTCTTTTTGACCCTTTTTTCAAATTTGAAAAATGTCAAATAGTTTTCAACAATTTTCTTAAAAATCAGAATTTTTTACATTTTGAAAATTTTCTCGAATACGCACCATTTTAGGAAAATTTTGTAAAAAACAAAACTTATAGAGAATAACTTTTATTTAAAGAATTTTCTTCTCCAAACGTAAATAACAGATATAATTCATAAAATATAAAAA